CCATCGTTATACTGGGCCATCCAACTGTTGTACTGTTTGTCGAATTCGTCCTCCTCATTCGTTATCTCTAGTAGTCTTTTGGCTACATTCAAGTTAGAATGAGAAAGAATAGATTTTTATTAATTTTTTTATCAGGAATATTATTATATGAATAATAAACTTGATTAAGAATATTATTATATGAATAATTAACTAATCGTCTAAACAAGACACGCATGTTTTGACCTATTTCTTTGTAAAATTTAAAGTTTAACAAGAAATATATATATATATATAGAGAGAGAAAGAATAAATTATTATTATAGAATATAATTAAATGATGAATAAATAATGACCATGAAATGTAAATAAGAATAAATTCCCTCACCCAATACAGGATCACTACAATGCACCTTCTGATCCTCCCCACCTTGATACGTCTGCCAATTCATCTTGTACTGACTGCTATTAGTGGCTCCAAACTGTTGATTGCTACTGCCACTCATATTCTTGTTGATACCATTGTTACCATCGTACGTGCTGATGGCAGAAGAAGACTGGGATGCATTTTGAGAAGCTGGATCTGGCGGAGGAGGGGGCTGGGTCCTGGGAGGATCAGACGCAGGAGGTAGCGGGGCCATAAATCTGTTTATGGTGCTGGCACTTCCGACCCCACCCATTGCAAAATTATTCAACATATTGAAGTTATTAGGAGGGAAGTTATTAGGATTTGGCTGATTTTGTTGATTGATAGTGGAACTTAAATTCGCGCTATTTGCCATCGCTGGAGTACCGGCTGCATTGAATAAATTATTGAACGGTTGAGGAATCTGGAGCCCCATCCAGTTGAATGGAACGTTGGGGGCCGCTGTCGGACGCTGTTGTTGCTGCTGCTGCTGCATTGAAAACAGTTGGGGCAGCATGAGTGGCAGATTATTCATATTCGGCCACTGATTGAACATTTTAATCGTAATCCGAAGCGATAGATTAGATCAAGATATAAAGCAAATTATTTTATATAAATAAATCACTAATCGCTAATTTGTTAGTAACTAAATCCGACCGTAAATAAAAATACGTAAATAATAATATTTAATTGAAGAAAATAAAAATGTCGGACCGTCACCAAAGACTGGATATATTTTTCAATATCGTAAAAAATTATATCTTTATACTTTGTAAGTATAGTTAAGTTATTTATGAAAAAATTGCAAAACGGTTCAAATTTTATATTACTTTTTAATAAATTTTATTTAATTTTAAAAAGGATTAATATAAAAATGAATTAAAACAATACTTAAATTTGTTAAAATCATTACCATCATCAAATTCACCATGATAATAGTATAAGCGACAACAACAATCGTCATCATCATCTCCATCGTCATCGTCGTCATCATCACAAACTACAACATCATCATCACCATCTTCTTCATCTTAAACTACATTATCCTCATCTTCTTCATCATCGCCGTCTTTAAAATTCCACATTCCGTCATGGGTTGTTTAAAGGTTTAACTACGTCTGCTAGATCATCGTCTTTCTCGTCTTCCTCTTCTCTACCATCACTTTAAAAATGATTATTATTATTTATATTATGGTTATTATTATTATTATTATTATTATTACTTATATTATTATTATTACTTATATTATTATTATTGTTTATTTATTATTATTATTTATATTATTTTAAGGTTAATGGTATTTGATTCCTCTTGGTGATAATATGTCTCCCGGAGAACAGCTGGTGGTGGCGACGGTGGTGGCGAGGACGACGACGACGATGCTGTTGCTGATGATGATGATGATAATGATGACGATGGCAACAATTAGATGGTTGTGATGAAGTTTCTTATTTATCATCGTGATCATCCTCTGCCTTCATTTTCAACATAGCTCATCGCCGTCGTCATCATCATTTTTCTCTCATCATTATCAGTCCCGTTATTATTATCGACATCATCGTCATCATCATCGTCATCATCGTCATCGTCGTCTTCATCATCGTCGTCATCATCATCTTTATCCTCATTGTCACTTTTCATAAAATAAACTTGTTAACGTTTGTGTTTCACTATACAATTTCATTCTTTTACTATATATTCTCTCTCTCTCTCTCTCTCTCTCTCTCTCTCTCTCACTTCATTCTCTTTTTCTTTCTTCTTATCTTTTATGTATTTATGTCTATGTGCATGTATGTATGAATGTATGTATGTAGGCTTGAATGCATGTTTGTATGCATGTATTAATGTGTATGCACGTAAGTACGTATGTTTGCATGTATGTGTATATGTGTGCGTATGTGTGTATGAGTGTATGCGTGTGTGAGCGCGCGTGTGTGTGTGTGTGTGTGCGTGTGTGTGTGTAAGTGTGTGTGTCTGTGTGTTTATGTAGTATTCGAGATTTTAGAAATTGCTTGCAATCATTGGATACGCTCCGATGAAGGTATTGACTGATTCGCTGATGATGTTGTTGTTGCAAGCGGCAGGCAAGGCATCTTGAATGACAACCGTAGAAGTTTTCAGCGGCTGAAGTTGTTGTGGCTGCTGATGCTGTGGTGGTTGATGTTGTTGTGGCTGGTGTTGTTGTGGTTGTAGTTTATGCTATGTTTTTAGCATTTTAAGACATTTTATATTCAAAAAAATGTTTAAACTTGCTGGATTTATAATAAATTTATTATTATCATTATTATTCACAATTACTTTTTTATTTTTTTTTCTGCCGTTAAAAGTAAACTCAAATAACAATAACAGCAAGACCCCAGCATTCATCTGATACGCAAGTTGGGAAGGCAACAAGTTTTCTGACTCGGGCGCTCATAGAAATGGTAGGCATTATGATAATATTATCGATAAAGATGGCGACGATGACGATGATGATGATGTCCTAATTGTTGTTCTTCTATTGATATTTTCCTAACAATTACCGAGCTGGTTATGATGATGATCGTGGGGAGATAAAGTCCTGATAATGATGACGATCAGGAAAAAAATTTTTTTTTTGGGGGGGGGGATTTTTCCCGCGGTTTTTTGCACCTGCATTAGCCCCACATTACTTAATAATAACAAAAATAATAATAATTACATTAATAATAATAACAATAATATTAATAATAACACCTTGCCAATCATTTGATAGCCATAGATGCATGGGTCTTTGCTGTTGAAATTGAATGAATGCAGCAGAGCATACATTGGCTAAATAAGAACGGTGATGATGTTGATGAATTAATGAATGAATGATTGAATGAATGAATTAATGATTTAATGAATGAATTAATGAATGGATGAATGATTAAAAAATGAAAAGTGTGTGTGTATGTGTGTGTGTGTATGTGTGTGTGTGTGTGTGTGTGTGTGTGTGTGTGTGTGTGTGTCAGGCACACAACGTAAATATGTATGTTTCAACTAAAATCAAATATCTCAATTCGATTTCAATTAACTTTATTAACATTTAATT